TGCTAATTTACATTCCCACCAAAAGTGTAGGACAGTTCCCCTTTCTCCATTGCCTCACCAGTACTTATCATTATTTATGTATTTTAAAAATTTTAGCCATTCCGTCTGGATTTAAGTGGTATCTCATTGTTTTGATTTTCATTTCTCTTAAGAAATTTTGAGCATGTTTTTATATACTTTTTGTCTATTCATGTATCTTCCTTGGACAATTTTCTGTTCAACTCATTTCCCCATCTTTTAATTGGATTGATGGTTGTTTGGAGGGCTCCCTTTTAGCCACAAACTCCCCAGTACTTGTTCTTTGTATTTTAGATCATAGCCATTCTGACTCGAGTTATGTATACTTCAGCATGCTTTGGATTTGCATTTTCCTTATTGTAAGTGATGTCAATATTTCTTTATATGCTTTGTGTTCATTCACATGTCTTCAAGAGTTGGGTGGTCAGACCAGCCTCCCATCATAAAGTTGTATCATTAGTATTTTTGTGAGTGCGCTGCTTTTGTTCTCTGTATATTCTGGTTTCAGTGCTGTATCTGAGGTATTTTTATAAATAATTTCTATTTTGTTAAATTTTAATTAAACATTAAACATTTGTATGTTCTGTTGGATTTCATTTGCAAGTGTTTTACTGATGATTTTTGCATCTATATTTTCAGGGATATTAATTTGTAGTTTATATTTTGTTATTTCTTTGCTTTTGGTATCAAGATGACAGTGGCTTCAAAAAATGAATTTTGGAGTTTTCCTTCCAATTGGACCTTTATGAATAGTTTGAGAATTGGTGTTAATTCTCCTTTAAAAGTTTTGTAGAAGTCCAGCCAGGTGATGTGTTGGTTAAGGCCACTATATAATATGTGGCCAAGCTGGCAGTTTGAGTCCTGGACCCAGTGGCTTTAAAGACACACTGGTGATGAGTGTGTGTGCATGTCCAAACTCCTGAGAGGACAATGGAGAAGAAGGGAAGAATAATTTCTCACATTCTCTCCCTTCTGTCTTTTTCTGTTCCTCATTCCCATGTTGCACAAGCACACGCACTGTATAGCCAAAAAATAAATAAATATTTAAAAACAAAAAAATAAAAGGAAGAAATAAATAAAAGACTGAGAAAGGAAAAAGCTTTTGTAGAATTTAGAAATAAAACCATCAGGACCTGGGCTTTTCTTTGTTGGGAGACTATTACTGAATTTCATTGCTTTTTGTTGGTATATTTAGGCTTTCCATTTGATAGTATGATCCAGGTATATATTATATTTTTTTTCCTTAGGGCACATGTGCATGCTGGAGAAACAGAGAAAAACAGAGACAGAAAGTGATACATCACTGTCCAGGGGTAATGACCACACCACAATTCCTTCTCCTTTATTGTTGGGATTTTGGACTCACATGCACACACCTCCATTGTGAGTTTCAAGGACTTTAACCATGATTGGGCATGTGTGGGTCCTGTGACATAAATATATGCTATCTGCTGGTTCTGATCCAGGTATATTTTATATGCCCAGAGATTAGTTCATTTCTCCTAGGTTTTTCAATTTCTTGGTGTGTAGTCACTGAAAGCACCTATAATTATCTGTGTATTTCTGTGCTGTCCATGGTCATATCTCTTTTTTCATGCCTTATTTTCTGGGTGTTTTATTTTGCTTTTCTAATTAATAGTTTGTTGGTTTATTTTCTCAAAACCCCAGCTTTTTGTTACATTGTTTTTCAGTCTTTGCTATAGGGTGTGTGCACTTTCTGGAAATAGATGGGGGGTGGGGTGTAAAGTGAGAAATCACCCATCCTGGGTGGCGACCATCTCTCAGCCCCTTCTTTAATTTCCTCTTGGGATTTGGGGCATGCACACATGCACCCACTGATGACGGTTCCAGGACTCAAATAGTACAGTAAGTCATGTAGGATCCAGCTGCCTTAACCATCATGCAACTGACTTGTCCTCAGGTGTTCTTTTAGTCTCTGTTTTATTTATGCCTGTTCTAACTTTTATTATTTTATATCTTCTACTATTAACACTTTTGGGATATCTTGTTTCCACTTTTTTAGTTTCCTGGGATAAGTCGTTAGGTTATTTATCATCTTTTTTTTTAGGTAACTGTGTGTGAGTGCTACTAGCTGTAGACTCATCTCTTAGGAGTGTTTTGATGTGTTTGAATGCACCTGGAAAATTGGATTAGATTATCACTTGTTTCAAGAAATTTTCATTTGTATTCTTAATTTATTCAGTACTTTTGAAGCTACTGGGATAAATTATGTAATTTTCATGTATTTGTGAATTTTTGAAAACACTCTCTGTTGGAGTTTAATTTCATCATATATAGTAACAAAAAAGTTGCTATACATAATTTCTGTTTTCTTTTTAGATCTAAAGACTCACTTTGTTCTCTTTTTATGTGGTCAGTCTTCTATGTGTGGCTGAGAAAAATGTGTATTTTGATGTTTTTGGCAAAATCTTCTGTAAATGTTGGTTAGTTCATTTGGTTTATTGTATCATTTATGTTTGGTGTCTTTTTTTTTTTTTTTTCTAAATGATCTGTCCAGGGGTGACAGTACAGCGTTGAAGTCCACATGAATTAGCATGTCACAATCAGTCTTTCTGTTCACATCTAGCAGTCTTCCTTCCTCATGTTGAATGCATAAAGTTTTATGTTTTTTTTTTATCTTCTTGGTTAATTAATATTTTTAATACAAGTTGGCCTCTTACTCTTTTTATTCATTTTTTTAAAAAAGTTTTTACAATAGGGTGCATGTATTCTCACCAGAAGGAGAGAGTAGAAAAGTGAAAAATCACCCCTTAGTAGTGATTGTAAACTGCAATCCCTTCTCTTCCATTCTCCTTTGAGGATTTTTGGTATGCATGCACATGAATTTTGTGTGACTTTCAAGTCTCCAAGTCTGGGACTAAAACTGCACAGTCAGACCTTTGTGACCCAGGTGCCTTATCTTACATGCACATGCTGGTGTACATTATATATACCATCAGGTCCTGTTCAGGAATTTGAACCATGGTCAGATTTGTAATATTCCAGCACCTTTGCCTGCTACCTCCCCTGCCCTCATATTTTTTTAAATCTCTTTCTTTAATTTCAGTTGACTAGTACCTTACATATATTGTTTAGTTATTGTGGTAGAATATCTTTATCCTTTAGTGTTTCTCTCTTAACTGGGATGCTGCCATTCACACCAAGATATGTATGTATTATGTTAAAGAACAACATTCTGAATCTTTTAATGAAGGCATTTGGTATAAATCAATATTTCTAAATATACCCTCTGTGGATGGAACCCAGAATTTCTTTTCATAGAGCTGTGAATATTATAAAATATATTAACACTAAGTCATTTTTAAAAATTTCTAAAATGGTAAAACTTTAGACCATCCTATGGAATAAAGGTTATAGAAGCAGCATCCCACATGCCAATTGCATGGTTTGATTCCTGAACCCAGTATCTTGAGAATCACAGTAGGCACATGTACTTGTACAATCTAAATCCTGAAAGAAGGGAGAAATGGAGGAACATGAATTGTCATGAACGTTCCTCCTTGGGGAGGATTTTTCATGTTCCATCTGTATCCTGCAGAAACACGTGAATGTTTTATTAATCATTTAACAAAGTTTTTCTTGTTTTAAATGGTCTGATTCTCTTTCTCTATCAGTAAATAGTATTTTTTATGTTTAATTTTATTTTAATTTCTTTTATACATTGAATCACATATGTCACTTAGCTTGTAAAGTAAATGTTCCAACAGGGATACATTTCTCACCAGTCCAGTTGAGATTTTGTACTTTTTTTTTTTCAATCTTGAATTCTCTTAAACATACCAGTTGACCCCAGATCCACTTTCATTGATTAGAATAGCTTTAGCTATCACCTGAATTTCTGCTGCTTCCTAAATATTTGGCTACTGAAACTTCAAAGATGATGTACATAAGATTCATCTGTGGAATGCTCAGTTTTTTCCCAATTTTAATTTTTAGTTCCCATATGTATATGCCTGCTTAAACAGAAACATTCAGTTAAATTTCTATTTTGATTCAGTGACAAAAAAAATTAGTACCAATTGTTTCCCCCCCCCCTTTCTTTTGATAAGTTTCCTATTCAATATTCTTATTTCTCAATGGTCTGATATAGGTCACGCCACAACTTGGTTTTAACCCTATTATATCTTGGTTTTAACTCTATTATATCTTTCAGAGTATCTTTAGTCTCAAATCTGTAGATGGCAATTAAACTGCAAATCTGATTATATAATGCATTACTTCTTTTGGCTTTATATTATTTATACTCTATGTTTTAGCAAATGATAAAGTGATATTCATCTTTATTTGGACTCAAGATTTTTGAATGAACAATTACAGTATAATGATACCTGTAAATATACAACTTATGAGTAAATTACAGTATGCACATAAAATATTTTACTGGAATTAGGTTAAGTATTTAAATATAAAATCACTGTGTAATCAGTTTCTTGAACACCCTTACTTCTCTTGTCTTTGATCACAGACCAGGAATACTTACCTAGATATACTGTTTCTACTTCCATTAATATTAGGAATATACTTTGTGCTTTCAAAGGAAGAATGCTATAGTTCCATTTTCATAAGAACATTTACATACATGTTCTTAACATCATTGACTTGAATCACAAATTGATACTACAAAAAAAAAATTTTTTTTTAGACTGGTTCCCATAAACTTGTGTCTAACATAATTAATCTGACACATTACTCCACATATATATTTATACTTATGTGTTTGTATGAGATAATAAACACCTTGACATAACAGAATATTTATTATGCTTTCATCCCTGCAGCAAAAACATTTGGAGATATCTGAGGAAATAGTTGTAATAAATTTAGCAATAAATAAGTTAGCATAGAGATAGGATGTTTGTACTTTATTTTTTCTTCCTTTAGAAAGAGTTCAGAAACATACAGAGGAACAAGCATATACAAACAGAGAAAGTAAATTTCCCATGTTATGCTCTATTTCTCAGGGCTAATGAGGGGAAATGTATTTTTACAGAGGTTCATATCATTTGAGGATGTTACTATGGACTTTACCCGGGAGGAGTGGCAGGACCTGGAAGATGCTCAGAAGACTCTATACAAGGATGTGATGCTGGAGACCTACAGCAACCTGGTGTTTTTGGGTTAGTGGACCTCCCATGAAACTCTCTGCAGTAATTACTGTCTCTATTCATACTAAATGTACAAGAGTTTCATAATGTTTAATGCTGTTTAGGAGTGAGATTTCATTCTGTGGTTAATGTGAGTGGCACTCCTCTTTAACAAAATGCCCAAATAAGTCCCTTATTGCACAGCTGATATAACTGAACTGTTGTTACTTCTCAAATAGCTTACATGAATAGTTTGCCAAATTCCACACTGTTTTTTTATTAACAGGATACTGCATTGCCAAACCTTCAGTGATCCTCAAGTTGGAGCAAGGAGGAGATCCATGGACATTAGAAGAATGTCCCATCTTGAGCCTCACAGGTTAGTCAGTGAATGCTTTTCAAGGACGAGTGTAGTGCATTTTCTTTTAAATAATTTATATTTTATTGAGAAGGGAAAATAAAATGTTAGTATTAGTGAGCCTAGAAAAATGTAGAAATGTTTTCCTGGGATAAGAGTGTGAAAAAATGGAGTATATATTTTTAAAGGGTTCTAAGGATGACATGTTTAGGGTAATTAGTATGTATTTTTATTGGCTAAAAGTCCTTTCTCAGTAACATTTCTTCTTAAGTGACAAGAGTTCTTTTGACTTCTGCAAATAGATGATCTAGAAAACTGTTCACATTAGCAAAGAAACAGTACACAATACCCACGGTTATAAGAAAGAAAAGAGAAAAAGAACAGGGAAAAGGAATGACACATGGAAATCTTTCAGTGTAAAATTACAGGAAGACAGATGGTGGACATTTTGAATATAGTTAAAGGTATTAAAGGAAAGGGAAGCATAAAGGAACAAAATAAATCCATCTAGCTTTCAAAATATTAATGTATTGCTACAGTAATATACTAAGGAGAAAGAACCATATTTCTTATTATAGATCAGTACCAATATTTGAAATATACATGAGAAGTGTAAAATAAATTCTCAAAAATCATTTATGGAAATGTTTGTCTTTTTCTGACTAAAGAGGATGAATATGGGAGAGACTGTTGTAAATAAAATAAATACAGGAAAGCATGTGTTAAGACAGTTCTTATTGCCCAGTATATAGTTCAGGTGTGGAAGAAAGCATTTTAAAAAAAGTCTAACTGTGTCTTTCAGCAGAAGATACACACATGAGATGCACAGTATAAATGTAGAGAATGTGAAAAAGTATTTTTAAAAATCATTTTTATAATAGATTTTAAACACAAAATGGAAGGTTTCTATTTATATAAAGAGTAAGAGGAATCCTTATTGCTGAATTAAAATCTAGCTTTTCATCAGTGAATGCACATAAGGGAAAAACCCTATAAATATAATAACCATCAAAAATCCTTTTTCCAGAGATCAAAAATTATGATAACCAGAGAAAGTACAGAGAAGTAAACCCTTATAATGTGTATAAATTACCAAGGTTTTCAGCTGTTGTTATACATGATACAACTCTTACTGGAGAGAAAATTTGTAGATAGAACAATATAGGAATTTATTGTGTCTGAACATAGCCTTTTCTGTCTGAATACTTATACAGGAGAGAAGCCCTATGAGTGTAAACAATGTAAGGAAACGTTTTTCCAGAATTCAGACCTCACTGTACATCAGAGAAGTCACATAGTAGAGAAATTCTATGAAAATAAAGTATGTGAAAAAATGTTCTACAAGAAGTCACACTTCACTGTGCATCAGAAAAGTCACACTAGAGAGAAATTCTATGAATGTGGAGAATGTGGAAAATCTTTCAGGTTCAAGTCAGCCTTTAGTAGACATTGGGTAATTCATACAAGAGAGAAAGCCTATGAATGTGAACAATGTAGGAAAAGGTTCTCCAGCAAGTCATATCTCACTGAGCATCAGAGAAGTCACACAGGAGAAAAACCATATGCATGCGAACAATGTAGGAAAGCATTCTCCAGCAAGGGGTACCTAACTGTACATAGAAGAACTCACACAGGAGAGAAGCCCTATGAATGTGAACAATGTAGGAAAAGGTTCTCCCAGAAGTCATCTCTCACTCAGCATCAGAGAATTCACACAGGAGGAAAACGTTATGAATGCGAACATTGTGCGAAAACATTCTCCAGCAAGGGGTATCTAACTGTACATAAGAGAACTCACACAGGAGAGAAGACCTATGAATGTGAACCATGTAGGAAAACATTCTTCAGCAAGGGGCACTTAACTGTACATAATAAAACTCACATAGGAGAGAAGCCCTATGAATGTGAACAATGTAGGAAAATGTTCTCCCGGAAGTCACATCTCATTGCACATCAGAGAACTCACACAGGAGAAAAACTCTATGAATGTGAACAATGTGGGAAAGCATTCTCCAGCAAGTGGTACCTAACTGTACATAAGAGAACTCACACAGGAAAGAAGCCCTATGAATGTGAACAATGTAGGAAAATGTTCTCCCGGAAGTCACATCTCATTGCACATCAGAGAACTCACACAGGAGAAAAACTCTATGAATGTGAACAATGTGGGAAAGCATTCTCCAGCAAGTGGTACCTAACTGTACATAAGAGAACTCACACAGGAGAGAAGCCCTATGAATGTGAACAATGTAGGAAAATGTTCCTCCAGAAGTCACATCTCACTCAGCATCAGAGAATTCACACAGGAGAAAAACCATATGAATGCCAACAATGTGTGAAAACATTCTCCAGCAAGGGGTACCTCACTGTACATAAGAGAACTCACACAGGAGAGAAGCCCTATGAATGTGAACAATGTAGGAAAATGTTCTCCCGGAAGTCACAGCTCATTGAGCATCAGAGAACTCACACAGGAGAAAAATCTCTATGAATGTGAACAACGTGGGAAAACATTCTCCAGCAAGGGGTACCTCACTGTACATAAGAGAACTCACACAGGAGAGAAGCCCTATGAATGTGAACAATGGAGGAAAAGTTTCTCCTGCAAGTCAGTTCTCAGTAGGCATTGGGGAATTCACACAGGGGGAAAACCCTATGAATGTGAACAATGTGGGAAAACATTCTACAGGAAGGGGTACCTAACTGTACATAAGAAAACTCACACAGGGGAGACCTATGAAATGTGAACAATGTAGGAAAATGTTCTGCAAGTCAGATCACTCTAGGCATTGGAGAATGCACACAGGAGAAAAACCGTGTGAATACGAACAACGTAATAAAATATTCTCCCAGAAGTCACAGCATCATTTTTCATAGTAGAACGAATACAGAAGAGAAACCCTATAAATGTTAACATTGTAGGAAAATACTCTCCTTTAAGTCTGCACTCACTGTACATCAGAGAACTCAACACAGGAGAGAAACTCTATGATTGTGAACAATGTAATGCAACCTTTTCCCAAAAGTCACATCTTACTGTACATCTGATTACTCACACTGGAAAGAAATAATGTAGACAGCATTTTACTACTAGATGGCAGGGCTGATTGTACATCAGAGGACTCCTATAGAAGTGAAACCTTATGAATGTGAAGAATATAGGCTCTCTTTCTCTTAGAAACTATATTTAGTAAGCATCTGAAAAGTCACACTGAAGAGAAACTTCATGAATGTAGGGAGTATAGAAAGTCTTTCATTTGTAAGTCAGCCCTCAATGTACATCAAAGAATTTACAAAAGAAAAAGCCTGTGAATGTCAATGTACCAATGGAAAATTTTCCATGTAATATAAGTCAGACTTTACTGTATATGAGAGAACACAGGAATAAGTGCTATAAATGGGAATAGTGTAGAAAATTTTTTTCAGTGTAATCATTCCATGTTTTACGTTAGAGCACTCACAAAGAAGAGAAACTCTGTATGTGTGGAAATTGTAGTAAAACCTTACTGAACAAGTCACAACTTACTGTGTATCAGAGATTATTGAACAAGTCACAACTTACTGTGTATCAGAGAACTCTCGGATCAGAATCAAATAAATGTGAAAAATGAAATCTTTTTATTAGAATTAAAAGCTTACCATACATCAGTAAACTCAAATGGGATAAAATCCTCAGTAATGTAAGCTGTGCTATCCTTGAAATATTCAGAAATATGAATTGATCTCTGAAGGTAACAACATTGAACTTTTTTTCAAATGCAGCTTTGATTCAGCAAGCCATAGTAGTTAAAATTAAGGATATCATAAAATTTTGGGATGATATCTGTCTACAAAAAGAGAACATTTCAGAAGACTGTTGAATAAGATCTAAGAATTCCCCAACTACAGGAGAAACACATAGTTTGGCAAGTTTTTTTTTTTTTTTTGTAGCTATTTTTGCTATAGGGCATATGTGCTCTCTGGAGAGAAAGAGACAGTGTGACAGGAAGCATAAAACCACCCCTTGGGGGGATGGCTACAGCACTATCTCTTCTCCATTCTCCTCTCAGGATCTTGCGTACACAAGATCACACACTGGCTTGAGTTTTAAGTCTCTGAGTCTGGGACTTGAACTGCATTTGAATATGTGGGAGGCCAGTGGCATAACTATTGCACCATCTGCGGGCTCCAGCAAAAGTTTATGATCCATGTTTGATGTTTAAAGATGCAGCAAAATATAACCACTGATTTTGGCAAAAATAAAAATAAATATACAAATTTTTCTAGTTTCCACTTCTGGCCATGGTAGGCAAGACAACAGAAAAAGTGTTTCAACACATAGTGGAAACTGAAAAAATAGAGGCCATATAAGCATTGAAAATGGTTATAGGTGCTAGAGACAATGTGGGAAGAGGACGGGAGAAAGGGGACAGCGTGAGGAAAATAGGCAGGCATTTTTGAGATATAGAAATGGATTATAATGTATTGATGGTAATGTGTTATGTATCCTCAACTGCTCTGGTGGGAAGCATATTCATTTTGGATAAATTCATCTTACAAGCTAAGGGATGTATAGGAATTAAATGTATAAAATAAATTAAAATTAAAAATAAATTAAGAATAATAAAATATACCATAAAGGCCTAACAAAATAAAACAAAACAAAAAATTCTAAGTTGTTTCAGAGCCTGTGAACTACTCATCTGTACTTAGAGTGCTCTGCAAATGTGCCTCTCGTGAAATGTCCAAGTTTACTTTGAGAATGGAACTGATCTAGTTTGGACAGTAGGCATGCAAATGTTCTGAGTGTGTTGAGGAACAACATAGTCCTGGGTGGTTATAAAATTTCCAAGACCCTCTTTGGATGTTGAGCACAACTTTTGTGGACAGCGTTAGCCACGAGGTTCTGAGGCAGAGCACCCACTGGTCCAGAAATGCAATCCAAGGTGAATTGGTATTTGTACTGTTTTTGGTTTTGGTTTGCTCAACCTCATGACCCAGGTAGAACAGACCAAACTATTGTGGGTGGGATGTAAGGTAGCTGGTCCATGGTGACAACAAAAGGCTGACAGAAGTCCATATGAGCTACAATGTGAAAAGTGAGATGACCAGATTTACTGTGTATGCACTCACATTGTCTAGCAAACATCACTGCTATCTGTATGACTCTTTTTTTTTTTTTTTGAGAGTTTTTTGCTATAGGGCACATGCACTCACCAGACAGACAGAGAGAGACATAGAGACAGAAAGCGAGAAATCACCCCACAGAGGGGATGGTCACTCTGTAATCCCTTCTCCATTCTCCTCTTGGGATCTTTGGCACGCACGCACACCTGCCCGGCATGAGTTTTAAGCCACCGGGTCCAGGACGCCAACCGCGGTTGACTACGTGGGAGTCCAGAGACATAGCCATTACGCTAACTGCTGGTTCCCGTGACTCTTTAAATTTTGTAAAACTGACTGGAGTGGTTGCACTATAATATGAATATATTGAACAGTCCTAAATTGCATATACTTGGACATGGTTAAAATGTGTCAAAGTTTTGCCTTGATCAAACTTTAGTTAGGCCTCTCGATCTTTTAGTTTCCTCTGTATACTTCCTTGTAAAATCTCTTTTGAGTAAATAACCCTGCTAAAGTAGTTTAGCAAGAAGCCCCACACTAAATATCACATCACTTTAAGTAAGTGATTAGGTTTCTTATCGTGCACCACCCCCTGGGTGATGTCTAATCACTCTGTGTCTTCAGCAAGAATCCTATTATTTCATTTTAACCAGAATCTCTCATATTTCTAATGTTTCTTTAGTCATTTTCCATCACACTGCTCCTCAGTTGTGAATTTCTACTGCCCATGCTGTATTTGAAGTTGAGCCCAATTTTTCTCTTCCCCACTGAGACTTGCATTTCTGTGGGCCATAAGCTTATGATGATAGTCCAAAATAAAGCTTTTCTCACCCACTTTATCAAGTGTCTTTGAATTGATTTATTTAAATAGATTTCAAACTTTTTTGGACTGTTTTCCACAGTAAAAGAGTCATCGGATATCCAGAGTACTAATAATAATAAGTACAGAAAGATTGATGGTTTGCCAGAGGCTGGGTCAGGTAGGCAGACTGGAAATATTTGACTTTATTATGTAGTAATAGTTGTTGACTGTTTAGTTTTACAAGATGAAAGGAGTCATAAAGATGGATGGTGGTGACGGTCCTAGAACCTTGAGAGAAGAGATGATCAATTTTACGTAGTATATGTTTTATGAAAATAAATTAAAAATACTAAAAACACCAGCATATAAATATATAATCTATGATGCTTGTTGAAGTGATCCATATAATGACAAAATAATGAGCAATGTTATTCCAGTAACAGGTTAAGTCCTGAGTCAATTATGGTCCATGTCTGCTAAAGTAGAAGAAAATACTGATGTCTTAGTATTAGCAGAATGTTCCCAGAATAAATTGAGTGTTCCTAGAAAGAGTACATGTGCCTCAGACAATGACTGTTCTGCCATGTCCCCATGTTCACCCTCACCATCTTCTCAGGGTACATGCTGACTTGACCAACTTCCCATCTTCTAAGTTTGTTCACTTTTGAAAAGGTTTTTAAAGCTTCTATGAAAGGCTTATAACAAGAATGATATGGCAAGTTGTTGCCAGAAAAAATTTTATCCCAACATATTTTGTGATCTTGTCCACTTTTCTGAGAGGCCAAATGATGGTTAATTGGTGCATAATTTTCATTGGATTAGAGGCCTAGCATGTGCCTTAGAAGAAAACTTCAGCATGTTTTAATTGTAAACAAACATCTTAGTTTTGAAAATTTAAATATCCATAATATGGTATCTCTAACTAAAAGTTAAGTCGGTTGCTTTCCCTGTCCTGAAAAGTGTCCCTAGAAAACTACAAACCATTTAAGATTTTCTGAGATGTTTCTCTCATGAAATGAAACAGTCTTAAAGAAACTCAGTAGAATATTAATTTTTTTTTTTTTTTTTTTTTTTTTTGGTTCATGCCACCTAATAGTCAAGTTACCTATCACTTGGTATTCTGAGCATTCTACTGCCACCTAGTGTCTGGAATTTTCGGACACTGAAAGATTGAATACACTAAAAGTTAAAACCTTGAGCAAATAACCATGTTCAGTATACTGTGACCCAATAGACTTTCTGCATTTTTAGTCACTTTTGAAAAAGCTTTTAAGTTTTGAGAAATCACTCATCACAAGCAGTTTCCTGTAAGGGACAGCCCTCTTGGAAACATCACCTGGTTTTGTGTGTGAGGCCTTTGTTGTCCCACCTTGTAAGTACTTAGGAAAATGAGCCCACAAAAGTTGTAGTGACCCCAATCTTCATTGGCAAAAATGGGAGTCCTTTGAAATTTCTAAATGGCATGTTCATATGCATAAAAAAAGCTGGTTATAGAACCAGGCAAATTGAATGGAAAAGTTACTTTCAATGATATCTAAAAGCTACCTCGAATACAGTAGAACAACCTTTTATCCAGGAGGTAAATAAAAAGTTACAAGAATCCATTTTGGAATTAAAATTTCAGAGAGCTGTTCTACCCCATCCACTCTTCCACTACCTCTCTGGCACCTCTGTATGTTCTTCAGTATAATCTTCCACATCCTGAGCTCTGCTCTTTTACCCCTATCTCCACCCCCACAGAAGATAATACAACAGACTCCAGTGCCATCCTCTAACAACCCTAGCTCTCATGTAAAGCCTGTAACAGAGGAATACTAGCCTTAGTATATAATCTATGAACCAAAGTGTTGTTGTAAATGATTTTTTAGACCCAACTGAAGTCCCCATATATGTTGCTAGGAATTTTATTTAGATGTGTAAACCTGTGAGCCTAGATATTGTGACCTTTATCAGTTAGTTCCAAGAGAGTGCCCCAGAATGGATAAAATTTTTTATTGAAACTGTGGTATAGATTTAAATTAAAAACCCAGGAGAATCAAAACAAGTCTGCCTCTTAAGAAAAGTTCTTGATGCAGCTATACCATAACTATTCCCAAGGAATGTTGAACTAAATTTCAAAAATAGAAACAAAGACTGATTATTTTGAATGGTTGAGAGAAAACTGTAAATGGTATTCTAGACAGAGGCAAGCTATCGAATTTATCAAATGATAACCTCTTAAATTCTACCTTCTTTAATGGATTAGATGAAGGTTCGTTATTTTAGTTAAAGATACCAAATTAAACTGTCCAGATTCATGACCATTTGCCGGTTTGTAAATCTAGTCCCCAAAATCACAACTCACAAAGGACAGAGGCTATTGACATTAATCACGCATTTTTTATTTTATTTTATTTTATTTTATTTTATTTTATTTTATTTTATTTTATTTTATTGCCATGGGGTGTGTATACTAACCAGAGAGAGAGACAGACAGAGAAAGAAAGTGAGGGAAAATGAGAAATCACCCCCAGGGGTTATGCCCACACTACAATTCCTTCTCCTCCATCCTCCTGGGATTTGGGGCATGCACACATATATGGCTGGCATGATTTTCAGTCTGCTAAATCTGTGACTCTAACTGTTGTAGGCCATGTTGGAATCCAACATCTTAACCACCACACCATCTGCTGGCCCAGTTGCACCAGTAAGTTTTTGTAATCTTAT